TATAAAATAATCTTTCCTTTTAAATCTTTATATGAACCATTGGGAAATAATAGACTAGTTGAAAAGTTATACACAGGTTACATTTGTTTATTAGAATATTTTTTCCTTTAAGTCCAGATCAACAATTATTATTTTAAATGGTGAGAGTACTTGCTGTAAGTCACTGTGATTTTAGAATTTTGCTTTTATTGTGAAAACTTTTCATTAAAATCACCTGTGACACTAGTTAACAAGGTCAAAGTGATTCTTAAAGTGGTAGGAAGACATCATGACGTTTGTTCTGTTGCCCTAAGCTTTTTTTTTAATCCTCACCCAATTATATTTTTCCATTCATCTTCAGATAGAGTGGGAGGGAGGGAGGGGGAGAAAGAGAGAGTGAGAGAGAAATATCAATGTGAAAAACATCGACTGGCTGCCTCCCCCATCACCCCTACCAGGGCCAGGAACCAAACCGCAACCGAGGTAGGTGCCCTTGATCAGAATCAAACCCAAGACTCTTCAGTCCGCAGGCCAATGCTCCAACAGCTGAGCCAAACCAGCCAGGGCTGTTGCCCTAAGGGTTTATTCTTGTAATGGGTCGCATTCATGAAGACATAATAATGTTTTAAACAATTGTCATAAAAAAGCAGTTCTCCCGTGTAAAATGATCTACTATACCCTCGTTATGATAACTTTACTGTAGCAGTGGCCTGCTACTAAAACTACAAATTGAAAGTATGTTGTATATAACTTATTTGAAAAGAAACCACCTAATAGGCCAATATTCTACTATGTAATCTTGGTCCTATAAGTCCCCAAGATGAGTTTTAAAGGTCACAAAGTCAAAACAAGTTTATGATTTGAATCTGCTATTGATTTGACAAATGGTTTCAGGGACATGAACAAGAAAAAAAAAAATCCAGAAAGAAAGAATACTTTCTTTTCTCATTTAGAGAATAATAACTTAATGCTTATAATGACTCTAATTACAGCCAGAATGTACAATCAGGTAGTAACATCAAGTGTTCCCGAATTAATGAAAAATTGAGTTAAGTTAAAAACACAGTACCACAAGGTTTCATATTAGTAACAATCTGTCCTTCCAGTTTGCAAAACTGACACGAGCAAATGCCAATCAAATAAATACCTTGTATTTAGATAACCCAGGTAGCAGTTCAGTGGGGAATTGGGGGGAAAAAGTATTACTTTCAATGTCAAGTCACGCTTCCAGTTTTGAACAAGTAGCAAAACATAGGCATGTTTCTCAAATGGATTTCACAGCATCAGTGCAAAAGCCGGAGGGGATGGCTTAGTTTTTTAAGCCTCAGATTTGAAATACCTAGACTCCCTGCAACTACAGCGTTAAATCCTCTGTGGAACCACAGCTTCAAATGCTATCAGGACAGACTCAACTCTTCATCCTTCTGAAAATGATAAATTGAAAGCCGTGAGGTTTAGGGAAAATGGAGGGGAGCCTGCCCCCTGCCTCACCTCACCCAGGAAGGCTCTATTTGTAACATCACTTAAGCTTCCATTTGAGACTGTCTCCTTGGTAAGGCTTGAGGAAGCTGTTTTTAAGACATTCAGAAATTTCACAACCCTGCCATGGGCCATCTTACAAACATTTAAACCCAATTTTAGACAGCTTAAAGTAGACAGAAAACATTATTTTTAATTCCCATTTAAGATAGTCAAGAAAATCCTAACTGCTTGGTTTAAAATGCATTATAGGAATCTGGCCAAGTCTTTATTATGCCCGTGGGAATTTCTGAATCTCAAATAGATTCTTTTTGCTGCTTTGTATGTTTCTGGACGCCTCCTCCCTGACATCGGTTGACGGATGCTTGGTAAATTCCAATTAAACAATAGATTTTATTTAATCTGCATAGTCCTGAACCATTCTCCTACATCTCCTAAATCATTCACAAAACTTTTTAAGGAAGAACACTGGTTTTCTCCACCTTCCAGATGAGGAAAGTGTGGCTCAAGAAGGTTACCTGAGTTAACCACAGCTGGTATGTTCTTGCCCTTCATTATAAAGTCCAGGCCTTGAGAATCCATCCCCCTGAAGTATTGCTAGATAGGAGTGAGTTCTATTTAGGAACATAAACGTTCTACTAAAGAAAATTGTGTAATGCCTTCTAGAGTTAAATAAAAATAATTTATAACTAATTATTTCGATTTATCATTAATGCTGTATATCTCTATTATGTATAATTAATTACTTAAAATAATGAAAATTTGGAGAGAATGCTGGGAAAACTGTGGACCTTTTTTTTTTTTTTTTTAAGGTCTACTACCTAATTGATTAACAGATGTCCCTTTTCAGTTAGATTCCCTCAAAATTAAGCATATGGATCCAATTATATGTAGGCCAAAATGAAATGAGAATAACATGAGGTGACTTCCTGGGATACAACTCAAACGATTCTCCAAGTTTTAGTCAAAGAAAAAATCAATCCATAAGCAACTCAAATATCCAGATTAATTTAACATCTTTAAGATAGCTGCAGAGGTTACATTAAGACAAACTGGATAGTGGGCCCGGTATTTTAATAGATGCAAAAAGCCACCAAGTAAGTGTGAGCCCTTCGAGATGGTATGTTCACTATTTAAAAACAAATAACCTTAAGGAGGAAGCTGACATGTTGAGAGCTTTTCTTAAACATTCCTACTCTAGTATAATTTACCCGTTTTCCTTTAACCAATAGATGAGTTGAAATTCTCTGATAGGACTTTTGATTTCAAGTAAGGAGAGAGGAATTTTGGAAAAAAGAGTTGAGTTAGTTGTGTAAAAATGAATAAACCAAAACCTCATTTAAAATGAAGAGGAGAAGGTAAAGGAAAGAACTCTCAATGGAAGAGAGACACCTGACACGTGGGCACGAGGTGATACATCACTGCCTCGGCAGGAAGCACATACCCTTCCTTGCCCAGTAACAGCTCAGCCAATGGGAGACTGCCAACACCCAGCCAATGAGACACCACTACACTTGGAACTTTTAGTTCCTCCAATGGCCTGTTGGCTCACAAGAGCCCTGCCCCAATCCATAGAAGAGGGTCCTACCCTTTGTTTTTCTGGATTGATAGCAGCAATTCTTGGTTGTTCCTGAATAAACCCATCATGCTAGAGAAATATCTGGCCATTTGTTAAGGTCAGTAGTAGGACAATAAAGTTCAGGCTCTTTTAGCGGAAGAAACACAAATGCCTTAAAAATCAGGAAGATGCTATAAAGAGCAGTGGGTGCTGAGACCAATTTTTTATGTAGTGTTTTGCGCAATTTTTTTGCTGAGGGGTATCCTGTCTCCTGAGGTTGGATCAAGAGTATTAGGGCTGGGCTGGTGTGGCTCAGTGGTTGAGCATCCACCCATGCACCAGGAGGTCACTGTTTGAATCCCGGTCAGGGCACATGCCCAGGTTGTGGGCCGGATCCCCATTGGGGGGCATGCAGGAGACAACCAATCCATGTTCTCTTGGAAGTTTCATCTCTCTCTCTCTCCTTCTCCTTTCCTCTCCCTCTAAAATCAGAGGGAGATGTTTAAACATTTATTTTAAAAAAAAGAAAAAGGAATGTCAGGGCTCAGTTCAGGAGCTAATGAAAATGAATTCAAACTACAATGTACGTTTTCCTTGCTTTCTTACTGTGTTTTCCCCCTCTTTTAAATTTTACCTGGCATTCGTTTATCCTGTTACCAGAAAACAAACGATCTGTTCCTCCTCCAAAATCCCATGGTGGAAATTTATAACACTTCTCCTAACTTTAATAGCACTTTCCTGCCTTGGACAGGCTACATTATGCTATTTAAATTGTGTGTGTAACCTAAAAATGCAGAGGGTGTGTAAACCTCCGAACTCCTACCGAGTTCGTGTTTTATTAGTCTGTACTGAATTATAAATCAACATCCTCTGATGCTGTGTCTTCTCTTGGCCACACAGGCACGCATTCCAGAGGCCCAAACGGATGACCGCCTCTTGCTTGCCAGCTGCCCAGACAATCGAACTGTCACGAAGCTGACCTCCATCTGGCATGTAAAGTCTTCATGCCACCTTTTATCTGTGAAAATGAATAAAGGCAACCTCACTCAAAATTGGAGTGGGAAGCCAGGAAGGGAAGGCGGGGCAGGCACGCCTGGCTGCACGGGGCAGGGTTCGGAAGGCAGGTTTTATCTGCTGCCAGCAACAGTACGCAAGCTTCGGGCGGCAGCCAAGGGGCAGCTGCCCTGGCGTGGAACTCAATTTCCTCACCTGAACTTGCTTTCAGAACCACCTCTCTCGGCCCCCTTGCCCTCCAAGGGCGCTCCTCTGTTTTCTGGACTTGCCTACGGTGCACCAGTTCCTGGTCCTCAATGCAATTCCTCTGCTATCCCCCAAACAGCTCGATTCGGCTGGCTGAGTCCCTCATGTTCTTCTTTGAAAAGGCTGACCTAGTCGAAGGTCCATTGAGCGCTCAGTGGCGCCAGACGCCGGGTGAGGCACAGGCGACAGGGGTGCAGGTAGCTTCCTGGCCGAGGAGCAGGCAGGTGCGCTGCAGGGAGCTGTGCAGAGGGTCATTTCTGCTCCCCCTGACTTGCTCCTTTATTTCTATTTTTGTGAGCAGAGGCCCTCCCGCAGAAAGCCTGGGGGCGTGGGGGAAACGAGGCTGAGTGGGTTGTAGGCGGGCAGCTCGTGCACTCTGACCATCCCAGCTCAGAGGCCAGCAATCCCGCTTCAGCTGCAACTTCTAATTAAACGGATGCGTTACAACCCAACTTTAGGTTCCTAGGGTCATGCAACCCAGGGCTTCATCATTTCATATTCATTTTCCCATCTGAAGCTCGAGCTGCTTTTAACCACGGGCAAGGCAGGACCAAGTTGTCTAAACGCCTAAGCACGGAGCCTCGATGCCTGCCTGAGGGAAACCTCCCGCGGGCTGTCCCAGGGGAAACAGAGTCTCGCGAGAGTTTAGGAATCACGGACCACGCCCAGAAGCCGGCGGCCCGGGACCGGGTGGGCGGGGCGCTGGGTCACGTGGTCGCGCTGGGCCGGTCCCGCAGCCATGGCGCGGAAGTCGAGGCTTCTGCTCTTCGTGCAGCTCCTGCTCGGCCCGGCGCTCGTGCGCTGCTCCTGCCCGCTCCCCCTGGTTCTCAACACCTGGCCTTTTAAGAATGCAACCGAAGCAGGTGCGCCCGGCGGCCGGGGCGGGGCGGGGCCGGAGAGCTTCCGCTGGGGCCGGGCGGGAGCGGGGCGGCGCCGGCCGCCAGGCCTTCCGCGCTCGCCTTGCAGCCCCGCCCGCTCCGCGGGGCCGCGGCGGCCTTGCCGGTGCCCGCGCCCTTTGCCCTGCCGCGTTTGCTCTGCGCGGTCCCGCGGGCCCGGGGCCGCCAGGGACTCTGCTCCGCCGCGCCCACGGGCGCCTGTGCTGACCGCCAGACGTCAGTGTATTCACGGGCTGTCTCCGTCTACCGCTCCGCCTCTCCATCCGACCCCGCCGTTCTCCCCAGCAGTGCTCTGCACTCCAGCTTTGCAAACGGCCGACAGTTTCCCAGAGAAAGCATGTTCTTGTTGCACCTACAGCATATCAGCATGTAGGAGGAAAAGAGTATTTGCTACCTACAGTCCGGGGTTCCAATCTCGACTGCATGTTTCCATCGTCTGAAGGGCTTATAGAAATATCATTGCCTGAGCCCCACCTCTGAGATTTAGCTTTCACTGTGAGAACTAGGGCGTCTGTTTTTCTTTTTTTAAAGCTCCCTAAGGATTTTGATTTGCAGCCTAAAACTAAAGATTGCCTCTTCCAGGAAGCCTCCCCTGCTGTACTGCCCTCCTGTCCGATCTGAGATATAGGTGCCTGTCTTCTGAGCTTTGCTCTTATCCTGTACATACCGTTATCTTGTTATTCTTCCTGCATTGTGTGTTTGTTTCATTCTTTTCAAGACAGCATACCTCAGGAGTAATTTCAGACCCTTTCTGAGGCTGCTAATTTAACTTTCTGGGGCAGGATTGGCCCCAGAATTTGGTGGAGCTCCGTTTGTATGTTATAAGCAGTGAATACGTGCCCAGAAAATGAGGAACCAGGCCATGAGAAACGTTCCCAGCGATATGAGACCAAAAAGAAAAGTGCAGAAGCCCAGACAGCGGGCAGTCTGTATGGTGCATATATAGCTTCTCAAGGTAGACTTAAAAGCCAGTGTGGCCAGTAGTAATACTTAAATTATTTACCAAAAATAGCACCTACCCTTTAAGGAATTTTCTTTTTATTAGTGAAGAAATGGGCCACTGAAGATTTTTTTGTTGTTTTTATTTTCTTTTCAATGTATGGGGCTCCACAGAACATAGTGCTGAGTGCTCCATGGGCTCTGTGGCCAACATGGCCACTTTTGACTCCTGGCTCTGCTATCTGCTGTCTGTGACCTTGAATAAGTTACTCACCCTCTCCGGGTCTGTTTTCTCCTATTTACTATAAGTATAATAATTGCACCAGAACTTACGGAAAGCTGTTGTGAAGATTAAATGAATTGATCCATGTGAAGCCCACACTGTAATTACTTGCTCCTGTGGTATTATTATTGAGATTTGCTGTGATAGATGCTACCCCAATAAAAGTATTAGTAATGTGTAGTTTTAGTGATCGAATGATGCAGACATTTATAAGGCTATGATTTAATGGATTTTTCCATGTAACTGTCTTTTAGCAGCTTCAGTTGTAACTTTAAATTGAAGGAGAGAATATTTCTTTTCTCACACAAAGTAAAAATACGTATTAATAAGTGGGGGGAAAAGCCCCCACTTTTCATCTATAGCCAGTCTTTGAATTCTTCACAGTAAGGTAGTTGCATTGTATAATTTTGCCTATACCACTGTTTATATCACCGATTCCTTTGTAGCATTTGATACACTGATTTAAAAATTCCGTTTCACTTAAAAACGTGTGACATTACGAGTTCTCAAAACATGTTGCATTTGGCATTGAATAATACCTCTGTAAGCCAGCACTGTTGGTCTCCGATGCAGCCTGGAGGACCTTAGCGTCCGGAGGGTCCGCCCTGGATGCCGTGGAGACCGGCTGTGCGCAGTGTGAGAGCGAGCAGTGTGACGGCACGGTGGGCTTCGGAGGAAGTCCTGATGAACTCGGGGAGACCACGCTGGACGCCATGATCATGGATGGGTAAGAGCGTCCTCCGGGACCCAGGATCGCACCTTGGCTTCCCGTGGAGTGAACGTTGGAGTTGAACAGTCGTCTACCGAGAGCTAGATGGATGGAGGGTTTCGTAGGCTTCGTCAGGGTTGAAACCCCTAGCTTTTTATGTGGCCTTTCCAAACACAAGGGGTTTTCCTCTCAATTAAGAGAAAATCACCCTCATCATCCAAGGATCCCGTGGAGGAAGGTGGTCTCTGTAGTACGGGAGACCCCCAGCCATCATCCTGCCATCCACACATGCTGTGGTTTGCCTGACCGCAGCCTCCAGTCCCCTCCGGAAGCCCTACTAGGACAACCAGGAGAAACAGTGTTAGTGCTGCTGGAGTCCATGGTAAACGGACTTCACTTGGCTCGTGGTGGGAATTTGTGTGCCCTTCACGGCTGTGCTGTGGCTTCTACGTTAGTTGGTGTTTCTCCTGCAGATCGCTGTGGCTTGCAGTAAAGCAGTATCGTTTTTTACTCTGTGAGTGTCTGGAAGGACCGGATTAAACCGCACGGCATTTGTTCTCTTGCAGCACTACCATGAACGTAGGGGCAGTGGGAGATCTGCGACGAATCAAAAACGCCATTGGTGTGGCTCGGAGGGTCCTGGAACATACCACACACACGCTGTTAGCAGGAGAGTCAGGTGTGTCTCAACTGTACTGAAGCATCGCGTCTTTTGTCTGTGTTCACTGTGGGGAAAGGACTTGGATAAAACAGTGGATAAAAGCGACCCAAGTTCAAATTCCAGCTGCTTTTCTTACTATCTATTTAACTTTGGATACATTACTTCTAAGTTCTCACTTTCCTTCGTCTTTAAATAGGATTTTTACACATCGGTGTATTGTCTGTAGACGGGGAATGGCTGGGCTGGAGGGTTCAGCATTTCCCTCCCTTTTAATAGCTGTAAGACCCAGGGAGCATTCTGAACATGAGACAGGAGCAGGAGTTTTGCTACGGCATTCCACGTCAACCTCGAAAATCATACAGTGGCCTATACTCAGAAATAACTTTTAAGTTTGTATTAGCTAATGACTCCAACAGCTGGTCTTCAGTTTTGTTGGAATGCAGAATTGAAACTCCCTGACTCCCTGGATCTTTATTCGTGGACTCCAGGTATCCCTTGGGCGTCTCACATCTTCCTCCGTGCCGAGCATTGCGCCCTCGTTAGAGCAGGGAGAACCCTCACTGGTGAGGGGCTTGCCTTTCCTCCTGCAAAGTGGAAGAACGGAGATGGGGCACAACTGTCATAACGTGCTTCCCACGGCCTCAGGCAAATCACTGCTGGGAAGGATGCGGAAGCTGAGACCTAGAAGCTGACGCCCTTAAAATACTCAGGTCTGAATACTCCTGGGTGTGCTCTCGGCGGTGTGCCCCACTTAAGAGACAGCTGAACTGTAACACTTCCTGTACATATATTTGTTTAGAAGACAGTAGTTAACTAATTTACATTTTTCTTTTCTTCCCAACCTCCAGCCACCAAGTTTGCGGAAAGTATGGGGTTTGTCAACGAGGATTTGTCGACCGAGGCTTCGCGAGCGCTGCATTCGGACTGGCGCGCTGGAAACTGCCAGCCAAATTACTGGAGGGTCTGTGTGCACCCCTTTACGTTGTTCCCAAACGAGAGGTGACCTTTACATTGTTCCCAACGAGAAGTGAACGCCCTTCTGCTCTCTGGTGTCTGCCTGCTGCCTAAGGGGCTGGTTAGCACCCTGGTCACACTTGAGAACCACCGACCCGAGTTGACTCTGGGCGAGGTGTTCTTGAAAGCCTTCGAAGGTCTGGTGTAAGGGGCGGGGGCTGCCTCAGGCAGGGTGCCTCTGCTTGTGTTTCCTTAGAACAAAAGTTTCCAAATCTGGGACAGAGTTTGGAAACCATCTGTCTAAAAGATATCTTTTTTTTTTTTTTTGTATCCTTACCCGAGGACATTTTTGCATTTATCCTCAGATAGAGCGGGAGAGAGAGAGGGAGAAACATCGATGTGAGAGAGACACATCGACTGGCTGCCACCCACACAACCCCGGCCAGGGCTGGGGATGAGCCTCAACTGAGGCACGTGCCCTTAGCGGGAACCAAACCCGGGACTCTCTGGTCCGCCGGCTGATGCTCTAACCACTGAGCCAAACCGGCTGGGGCTAAAAGATTCCTTGGATGTTCTGTCTGTGAAGTGTGCCCAGGACCTTGCTCCTGTGTGACTGGAGGCGTCCTGCTATTAGTAAGTGGTGTGTTACTCGGGGTCCTTGCTTTAAATCAGTGGGACACTGCAGAGTAGTCTGTCTTTGCCACTCAGGCTGTCTCAGTCGCTCACCTGTTTCTTCCCCAAATCCTAACTGCACTGGAGCAATGAGACGTCTCGGGGGTCGGTACTGGGAGGAGGCTGCTGTGTAAAACCAGCCAGGGGGCCTCGAGTACGCTATTAGAAGACGTGAGCAGTAGTGTCTCGCTTTAGCTAATCCATATGTTCCACCTCATTTATGAATTTGGATTATTTTCTTGAGCCTTTAAGATTCATAAAGGCATCTGACAGTAAAATGTAGAATATGTCCACTTGAACCTAGCTCTGAGAAAAAGAGGGTTTTGAAATAGAATTTGCTTTCAATTTCTTAATTCTTCTTTGGCCGGGAAACAAAATCATGAAATTTAAAGGTCAGGTTGCATACCTAAATCTGCTGAGGACTAGCGCCTAACAAAAAAACCCTCATTTATATCTGCTGTTAATGCTGAGAATTGTAGGCATGTGAAGAGAAAAACTGGGGATCTTGTCCAGACAATGTAGATTTCTAGCCCACTAGGTGCTCAGTAGAATTACACCCATCTGTTCACAGAAGACTTAGTTAACCTTTGGCTTTTAATTCTTATCTTGCACGTACCAGATGTCCTTTTGGGTTTTTGCTAATGTTCAGTGATTGTGCATAACTACTTGCTGATTTCTAAAATCACCCGTTCTAAAAAATAAAACCTAAATCTGCTTGCAGAATGTTGTACCAGATGCTTCAAAGTACTGTGGCCCCTACAAACCACCCGGTATCTCAAAGCAGGATCGTTCTGCCTACGGAGAAACGGGAGCTAATTATGGTCATGATACTATTGGTAATTTACCTTTCATACCTCTTCATGGTTAAGTTAAGCTGTTTTTAATTCCTTTCTGTAGTTCTCTTTCATCCCTATTCATGTGGCCGAAGGTGATTTTGATTGTTTTAACTGGCAGGTGAAACTATAAATTTGTACCTGACATATAACACACACACACACACACACACACACATTCTTTCCTTAGCCTCAGGATACATTTTGGTAAATTAACCTTACACAAGACCCTGAATACCTAATGGCTATTCACTTGTGGGTTTTCACATGTTTATATGTATTTGGTTCTGTAATCAGTTGGTGTTTGCCACATTCACATGGTCTTTCCAGGCTGAAATGTTGGAAATTTCCATCAGTCTGTGTCAGTGGTTTTCTGTGGAACAGTCTGACAAGCACTGACACACGGAAGGAGGGAGCTCGGGGTGTCTGCCAAAAGGCGCTGTGGAATCAGCTCGCTCAGGCGCACATTAGACCTGGTGTAACCTCAGCGGCCCCCGATTTCCTGTTATTCTACCTGAAATTAATTGAGAGGATATTTATGAACCAACTGTTCAGTTATTTGGCTGTATTTGAGGGACACTTTGGAGTCGATCCTGACAAAGATTTTTTTTTTTAATTCCAGGCATGGTTGTAATCCACAAGATGGGGCGCACTGCTGCTGGTACATCTACAAATGGTATAAAATTCAAAATACATGGGTTAGTGTTTCTAAAACAACAGCTCTGAGAAGAATGCATTGAGTGTAAACCCTGTGCTTGGTGCTTTGGGAAGTGCAGAGGCAGAGCGTAGCCCGCCTTCAGGCCTGTGATAAATAAATGAGAGAAAATAAATCAGTATCCGCTAAGTGCCAGAGGAGAGGGAGACCCGGCTGGCGCCTGAGAGTTCCGGGATGGCCCTCGCGATCTGATTAAGCGGGGGTAGGTAAGGAGGCCAGGAGGAAGATGCTGGGAGCCGCCCGAGCCTGAGGCAGGGAAGAGAACCCCCAGGCCCAGGCCCGAGGCGTCCGAGGTCATGCACACTCAGTTCCAGGCTCCGGCTGGCTGAAAAGAAATTGCACGTGTGCTGGGTGTAGGGGAGGAAGATGAGTCGGATTCCAGGGGTCTCCAGCCAGTTAAGGATCGCTAGGTTTTCTTTCAAAGTACTGGAAAAGCACTGAGGGTTATTACAAGGAAGGATCTTGGTGCAATTTGGGCACATTAAAGTTTTTTTTTTTTCTTTATTGATTTTAGAGAAGAAGGGAGAGGGAGAGAGAGAGAGAAACATCGATGAGAGGGAACATTGATTGGCCGCATCCTGCACGCCCCCCATGGGGATCGGGCCCACAAGCTGGGCATGTGCCCTGACCGGGAATCGAACCAGCGACCTCCTGGTGCATGGGTCGACGCTCAGCAACTGAGCCACGCCGGCCGGACCAATTTGGGCACATTAGATAGAAAGCAGACATAGATTGTAGGTGAGAAAAAGTAATTTGAACCTGTTGAGATAATGCAAAAATGAGATGACCAAAGATAGTAATAATAGAATAGTCACTCTAAATCTTTGCCATCTTGATATGTAAGCTGTTATTTTTGAAATCCTCACCCGAGGATATTTTCTCATTTATCTTTAGATAGAGTGGGAGGGAGGGAGAGAGAGAAAGAAACATCGATGTGAGAAGGACACATCAACTGGTTGCCTCACGCACGACCCTGAGTTAGGTGCCCTTGACCAGAATCGAACCTGCGGCTCTGGTCTGCAGGCCAACACTAACCACTGAGCAAAACCAGCCAGGGCTCATTCTTATATAATTAATGCAGGTTTGTGGAAACCTAAGTTGAAACTTGTGAAAATCTTTTTTCCTGTGTTCTCATGAAGAAATTACTTAAAACAGGAATCAGTGGCTAAGGAGAAATATCCACTATTATTGAAACAGCTCATAAAATAATTTAGTTCCTGCACTTGATTTCCTGTCCTAAATGATCATGCTGTGTCCTCACAGTCGAATAGGAGATTCGCCAATTCCCGGAGCCGGAGCCTACGCTGACGACACTGCAGGGGCCGCCGCGGCCACCGGGGATGGGGACATACTGATGCGCTTTCTCCCAAGGTGTGCCTTCCTACCTGTGTGACTTTCTGAGACCTTTAGAGGAGGACTGTCTGTCACTGTAGACAGTAAGTGTTGGTGCCAGGTAATCCGAACCTGCAGAGAGGAGCGTCTGAGAAACTGCTCACAGCTCTGTCCTAGCCTGCTGATGGTGCGATCATTCAGGCTGAGTAATCCTCGTGCCCCGAAGTAGAGCAGTAGTGCTGACTCTGCTTCTCAGGAGGACACTTTCGGTCCGTGTGAGTAATTTGTGTAAGGCCACCGACGAAGGGAACTCTGGTCACCGATGATAAGTCAGAAATGCAGTCACTGCCCAATTCCTGAAAGACAATCATGACAACTGGGTGTCTGCGCAGGCCCAGTGTGTTCCCTGTGGATTGCAGCCCCACTTCTTATTTAAAGAGAACGTCTTTCTTTGACGACCTCCGGCTGCTACTGCTCAGTGCAGTTACTGCAGAAATCGGAGCATCTCTGAAGCTGATGAGCCGACGAGTTGAAAGGATAGACCTGCTTTCACAGGGCGCTGACGCCTCTCCATACCTGTCCGTGGTGGCAGTCCTGATAGTTTTAGATTTCTACCTGAACCAAATGGAGAGTTAGTTTACTTTGTGACTCAAATTTTGCCTCTGTTTCCGTCAGCTACCAAGCCGTGGAATATATGAGAAGCGGAGAGAGCCCAACCACAGCTTGCCGGAAAGTGATTTCAAGAATTCACAAGTATTTCCCAGAGTTCTTTGGGGCTGTCATATGTGCCAATGTGACTGGAAGTTACGGTGAGTTCTATCTGGAGTTTGTATGTGTATGAACTTGCAAATGTTGATGAAAACATACACTTTTAAATATCGCGGTGTATTTTATTTCTGGACAGTGGAGACAGGGACGATAGTGAGTAGGCCCTGGAAAAATGTGTATTGATAACCTGTCAAGACCCCCCAAAGTGTTAAAAATACACCCAGAACCCTCCTTTGGTGACTGCTGGTAGCTGTGATGTAGTCTTTGCTGTTGGTCCATGTCTGACCTCTGACCTCAGTGCAGTTTAGCTTCAGCTCCAGTCTGTGCTGAGATAGGCCAGTCTACTCTGATGCTTTTATTAATTAGAAGTAGAAGGGTAAATTACCTCCCCTATTTCTTTTCCATTCTTATGTAAATGTCTTAGTCATTTAGATCTTCTTGGAGCTCCAAGGTACAAAATGCATCACTAATTAGTAAACCAAAGAAGTTCGCAGAATTATGTTTGTACTGAGGCATGTCCTTTGCTTCATTTCATTCGCGGTTTCAAAGCCTTTCAGGATCAACCGCTGCTGCTGCTCATTAGCGAGTTTTCCGATGGGGAAGATACACGCTTACTGATCAATGCGACTTACTGGGTTAGACTGCATCTTACTGTTCTGTGATCTTTTATTCCCACAGTTCTGTATTTGGAAAACTTGTTTGAAGAATTTCTTACTCCTTTTTTAAGTAGGAAGATACAAAAGTCAATATAAGTTATGGGAGGGAAAGGCTTTATTTATAAAATAAGTCAGTTTCATTGATTTCCTCTTAAAAAATAAACCTTAAAAGGCTCAAAGTTGGATTTAACAGGATGTAAAATGATAATTATATAATTATAGCTGAATTTACTATGGTAGATGATAACGATATCATTGTAAATGAATCTGGTCCCTTGTATTGAAAGTAACGGCCTGCTCCCTTTCTGTTCTCGCCCTGCGGCGGGGACAGTGTCCCTCCGCGGCCAGCCGGACCGGACCGCTGCGCAGCAGGTTGTGAGTGTGCGTCCTGTAACCAAACGACTCTCTCTTCTTGGCCACAGGTGCTGCCTGTAATAAACTACCGACATTTTCCCAGTTTAGTTTCATGGTTTATAATTCGCTGAGAAATGAGCCAGTGGAGGAGAAAGTAGACTGCATCTAATCCAGTGTTCCCATCGGCATCTGTTTTCAGAGAAGAAAGCAGCAGAGGCTGGGGTCACGCACCCACCGCGGTGCGGTCTCCATCCGCCCGCGGTGCAGGCCTCGCCCAGAATAAACGCCGGGCGGCCTTCCCTGCGCACGGCTGGGTCGTCGTCCTTTCCTTTCGGCTTTTATGTCACCTGAACGGGAATGTGTATGTGTATGTGTCTTTTATGTGGTTACATTTTAGGTGACATTGGGATTTCTTCTCAATGCTTTAAGGAATTGCTACTTTGGGAATTTATTTTTATTTTTTCTTTATTGATTTTACAGAGAGAGAAGTGGGGGGGGGACGGACACTGATGAGAGAGAACATCGACTGGCCGCCTCCGGCACGCCCCCCACTGGGGATCGGACCCACAACCTGGGCGTGTGACCGGGAACTGAACTGGCGACCTCTTGGTGCAGGGTCGATGCTCAACCACTGAGCCACACTGACCACATGGGAATTTATTTCCATAGTGATATCTTAAAGCCAAAAGAAATAATCTGTATTTGAATACTTAAAATAATTAGAGTGTCCACGTTTTTTGCACCCAAAGGAAAGAGTAAGGTTGAGGCCACGGGATCCGCCCAGACTGAATTTCAGGACATCACAGCCACGCGGCCTTCTCGCTGTCGGGTCCGGAGAAGGAAGGATGCTGTTGATAATAAAGGCGCTGCTTGTGCAGCAGTTAGAAAGTGCGGGCAGTCTGAGGAGCAGGCTGGTCCGTTCCCCTGCTAGAGCTTCAGCGTGAAGGTTTGGTCACAGCCACCTCTGATCTGTTCGCCACTGAGATTCGGTGTAGTCATTTCTTCCGAGGAGGATTCCGGGAGCTGGACCTGTCCCGAGGCTTTACCAGTCTCCTGCGCCCAGGTTGGTGATCGCAGTTAGAGCTACGTCGGTGAGCCTGCGTCCAGCCTGGTCCTGCCTGGCCAGGCCAAGTTCGGGCCCCGGCTGTCCGCTGTGTGAGGTGTGTGTGCTCTCTCCGCACGTCCTGTCCTTCAGAAGCACTACCTGCAGCGTCCAGAGCCCGCCATAACCCCACACGGACGACACTGTCCTCAGTACATCTGCCTTCCCCGGACTCCTCTTAATACCGCCTGCTGTTTGCCCCCTGGGGCCGGGAAGCTGTAGTTTCTAGACCGCTGTCAGCTGCCTGAGGCCTCGCTGCGCGTCCTCACTGTCTGGGAAGCCTGCTCCATCCCAGGCCCAGTTCCTCACAAACGAGGACTTGAAAGGCACAGTTAGCAGCTCCTCACTGGTGCCTGGAAGTTAATGCGGAGATAATCCTGCAGCTTCGCTCAGAGCGGAAGAGAAAACGGTCCTTCCGAGCGCTCGCAGGTGCGCGGACTGGCCCAGTCTGATCCTGGGCCCGGGAAGCGGGGGGAGTGGCGGACGTAAAGGGCAGTGCCCTCAGGTCGGCACAGTGCCCGTCTGAGTCTGCTGTCTGTCCCACGTGAGGCGGCCACTGCCACCAGGAAAACAAGACAACGTCTTCGGGGCCGGTCCCTCAGCAGATCAGGAGCTTAGCTGACAAAAGCCACCCACATGTTTTTAAAGCTATTTTCTCTTTAATTCACATTCTTCCTGATGGAAATAATTGTCCTATAAGTCAAATCTAGAAAAAGTAATGAAATTAGCTTTGGAAATGTATTTTTAAGCTCTAGATTTGAGTATAATATTTGAATGCTGCAGATGGGTTGTCCTTTCTTTTGAAAAGTTAAAACTACTTCTGACATGTGCACGGGGAACTCGCCTCCGATGATGTGACACCAGGGGCCCCTGAGGTTGCAGGGACACAGGAAGCTAGGGCAATGGCCCAGTCCGTAAAGAGCAGTGTGAGCCAACTGGAAGTTGAATTTGGAAAGAATTCACTACAACTTAGCAAGAGCAAAAAGTTACTTGGACAGTTTAATGGTGACCTACCTTTTTACGAAGTGAAGGTGTTACGTGCTCTGGCTGTGCACACTGGTGGCTGAAGATGGCTTAGGTAAGGTGAGGGGGCGGCAATGCTTGGCACTCTGCAGGGTCATTTCCCTTTGCCAATAGAAACAGGTGTTTTTCTTCCCACTTGCTTACTAAGGTGAAATTAAACTGTCCTAGCAACCCTGGCTGGGTAGCTCAGCTGGTTAGAGCATCGTCCAGATGTGCCAAGGTTTGGGGTTAAGTCCTTGGTTAGGGCACATGGATGCGTGAAGAAGTAGAACAACAAATCAGTGTTTCTCTCTCTGTCTCTCCTCTCTTCCTCTCTCTCAAATAAATTTAAAAAATAAAGCCCGGCTGGTGTGGCTCAGTGGCTGAGCGTTGACCCCTGCACCAAGAGGTCGCCAGTTAGATTCCCAGTCAGGGCACATGCCCAGGTTGTGGGCCTGATCCCCAGTGGGGGGCGTGCAGGAAGCGGCCAATCGATGTCCTCTCATCGATGTTTCTGTCTCCCTCTCCCTCTCTAAAATCAATGAAAGAAAAATAATTAAAAGAAAAAATAAAATTGCCCTAGTGTACTTATGGGTTAATCAACTTTGAGTGGTTCTTACCGCGCTCACTTTGTCCCTTGGATACATGTACCCGCGGGGCTTGCCACCCGATCGCGTCCTCACCTTCCAGCTCGCGCCTTCCACCTCCTGGTGCGTTTCCTGCACACGGGCCCCGGGGCGGAGCGGCTTCGACTTCAGCATTCGCTTAGGTCCGTCTAACAACCACACTTAGAAAAAGGAAGTGACTCTGGTATCGGCAATATCAACATGTCTCGATCAGTACCTCCAGAGCCGATTTCACCCAAGGGTTTGTTATTTTTAGCCCAATAGGAAAGAGGAAGAACCTTCCCCACAAATTATGTAATAAGAATTTGGTCCTTTCCTGTTCTTCATTCATTTGCATTGATTAATCCCTAGGACAAATTTTAAAATTAATTATTTGGCCAGTGAGGAGGGTAATAGCATCTCAGTTTAGATCACGCATTGTTGCTGCAGTGCTGTGCAGGAGCATGGTGCCAGCTAGCTTTCTGGACCATCTTTCCGATCATCAAACAAGTGCTGGCGAGGGTGTGGAGAAAAGGGGACTCTGGTACACTCCTGGTGGGAATGCAGACTGGTGCAGCCACTATGGAAAACACTATGATATTTCCTCAAAAATTTAAAAATTGATCTGCCATTTGACCCAATGATCCCACTTCTAGGAATATATCCTAAGAAACCTGAAACACCAATCAGAATATATGTACCCCTATGTTCATAGCAGCACTATTTACAATTGCTAAGATCAGGAAACAGCCCAAGTGTCCATTAGTAGATGAGTGGATAAAAAAAGTGTGGTACATGTGTGCACAATGGAATACTATGCAGCTGTAAGAAAGATCTTTTATCCTTTGAGACAACATGGAGGGACCTGGAAAGTATTATCCTAAGTGAAATAAGCCAAGCTGAGAAAGACAAGTATCACATGATGTCACTTATTTGTGGAATATAATGAACATAAGCTGAGGAACAAAACAGACCCAGAGACATGGAAGTGGGGTGCAGACTGAAAACCCTCAGAGGAGGTGGATGTGGGGGGGGGGGGGGAGAGAAACTACAGAACTTAAACGCATGTGTGTGTAAACAAGGACATAGAAAACAATGCTGGGGGTGGGGGGCTGGGAGGAGGGTGTCAATGGGGGAAAAAAGAAACATCTGTAACAACAACAAAAAAAGAATGTTTCTATAGCGGATGCCTTGAAGATTGAGATCTGAGAGAGCATCACCCTCCTGGGCAAGGGACAATTCATTTGCTGTCAGTATAATAAAGAGAATGTCTCCTTTTGAGGCGGAGACTTATTGGCAGTCTTCTTATAACATATTTGGTTTCTTAAGCCTGAGCTTCCTCAGCACTGATGAGGACTTACCATGTGCAGGACTCACCGAGGTCCCCTCTCTGTCCCTTGGGGCCTAGTGGGAGCCTGAATGTGAAATGAAGATCATGCTGCTTGCTGTGCCGAAAGTCCTCTGTCTCCGACCCAGGTACCTCCTGTCTTCTGCCAGCGTCTTGTTAGCGGATGAGGACGGTAAAGTCTCTGGCTCTTCTTGGTCCTTGACACTGTCAACAGCAATTCATAAGGAATCCCCGATTTTGCTATCATTCACTGTACCTTACATGTGGGGTAAAACCTTGTAGACCTGCAGGTAAGTTGAAAGTCAGAACAGATACTGCAGTGCAAACCCTAAAGAATGGTTTAACAAAGGCCAAGGGGGACCCTCTGGGAGTGTTCACACAATGAACATTGAATTAATTGTGATAAAACTTCCCAGCCATCCATTGCCCTGTCCAAGAATCCCATCTAAAACACCGACACAATCTCATTCCTTTGAATGAAATAGCAACGAATATAATTTAGATTTTATCAGGTTGCACTACTAAATAGTGCACACCAAGTAATGGAGAGAATCTCAAACGATGCTTGGTTTCCTCCCCTTGCTCAAACTCTTCTTAGCAGGTCTTGATTTACTCTTAAAGAATGTTGACCTGGCCCGGCCAGTGTGGCTCAGTGGTTGAGCATCGACCCATGCACCAGAAGGTCACCAGTTCGATTCCCGGTCAGGGCACATGCCCAGGTTGTGGGCCTGATCCCCAGCAGGGGGCATGCAGGAGGCGGCCAATCAATGTTCTCTCTCATCAATGTTTCTATCTCTCCCTCCCTTCCTCTCTAACTAAAATCAATAAAGAAAAAAAAATTTTATAAAGAAAAATGCTGAACTGAAGTTTTTAGAAATATATATGTGTGCTATATACACATAAACAACAACAAAAATACCTATTTCCAATATCAGCAAGTGATTCCTTTGGTTACAGAAGGCAAATAATGGACTATATATTCTTAATTAAGATATTATACACGGACTGTCACATACTATTAGATGCCATAGTTTTCAATTGTTAAACTTTTTAAAGTGTCATTATACCCGATGCTTGGTGACTGAATTTGGAGGTATGCATATAATTGAATTCATTTAGTAGGTTAACTGTTTAATTAAATTCATTTGGGAAAAAATGCGGTGACATAAATATATGTCCTAAATGGATGCTAATTATGAAGATAAATTGAGACCCATGTATGTCCTTGTACTGCTGTCATTTTGTACGATTCCTAGACTCTTGAGAAAGCTTCCAAAAAGGCGTAAATTTTTTGCTGGTTTTCTTGAGTGTTAATGCTATTTATGTGTTACTGAGTATACTTTCAACCCCTGACTTAGGAAGTTAAAAAGATGAGATAATGAGGTCTATAAAGAATAACAACTGTCTGTTTGTGGGTCCTATGTGCTCTATAATCGATTTTCCTGTGCAACCCAGGGTCAGCCGTAAAGGAAAGCTGTATCTCAGTGTTTGGAGAGAGCAAGCCCATTGGAAGGATAAACTAATTGTCACATATAAAATGGATATAATGGAAGTTAACGTTGCTATGATCAACCTATTTGCTTCTGAGTTATAGGGACAGGAAGTCATCCGTAGTTCTAAAGCATGGGCAGTATACTCAAGAATTGGTGATTTAAACTTGTGAACTTTCTATGCTGTGCACTAGATGGGGTCGCTCATTTATTTTCTTTAATTAAAATTTGCTTTCTGTAAAGTGGATGTTGACGTGTAATATTTGTAAGAAAATTATATTAGAGGAGATGGGGAAAAACCAAGTCTCTTCTAGTTGCTAGCCATCTATCTTTTTCTAACTTGTGCAAAATCCTTCAGCACCATAAATGTCAAAATACTTCTTTCCATTCCTAAATAAAACCCCTACCATTTGTCTTTCTTTCTTGTTTTGCTCATTGTAATTAAGGCCAATAGAAAATTAAACCAAAGACAAATTCCGAATAAGAGCAGTATCAGACCATCCAAGTTCCAGGTTCACTCAGTTTAGTTCTAATGAGGCTCAAGCGGTGCTGTGTGGAGCCTGCTTTAACCAGCGGGGCCCACTGCTAAATTGTTAATAGCTTGGAGGTAGCCGGGGTGGGAGTATTTATACCTCACATGTCAGCAAACACTGCTAATTAGCGCTTGTTTTTCCTCCTGGAGAGACAGTTTACCAGCACAGCACTGACTGAGAGTGCTTTGCGATACTGTAGCATGTATATTGCACACAGGCACACACTCGTAGAGGAACTCTGGGACTGAATCTGTTTGGTTCACACCCCGGCTCTGCCGCTGAGCTGTGTGCCCTTGAGCCAGTAACCCCCTTCTTGGTGCTGTTCCCTATAACACGGGATGGCGGTCATGACAGTGCCTACCTTTAGGGTTGCGGTGGAGACCTGTCTCAGGTGCACCGGTCCACACACACGAAGGGCTCGGAAATGCTGCTAATACTGCGATCTAGGCTGCAGCAGGAAGTCAGACCAAAGTTTCCGGAACCTCCGGAACAGAAAGATCGCATCTGCACGGAGGAACTGAGGATCAGGCTGGTGCTGTCAGACCTTCCATTTACAAAACACTCTGCTGCGAAACAATGAAGCTGCCGACCTTTTTTATTCTATCAGAAAAAAATGATCAGAAATGTTACATCGTCAAGCAAGAGTAAGGGCTAAAATGAAGACCTGTACAAATGTAAGGGTCACAGATTTTGCTTCCCACAGAGGGAGGTGTGGGTCCAAGGAAAACGGGGGCTTCCGTTCAGGAGTTACGTGACACCAGTTGTATAGCAGGCCTGGCCCGCTAACTGCATTTGGAGAAAAAAAAAAATCTGAGGCTCAAATAAAGTTGTTTAGAAAAAAGCGAGAGAGATTTGCAGATGGTGTCCTCTCATGACACAGCAGAGTGGAAGCAAGCTCTCTTTTGACTCTAATAAGGGCACCAAACCTTTTCATGAGGACTCCACCCTCATGACCTCATCTAACCCTAATCACCTCAATGGTCCTCGCTCCGAATACCATCACACTGGGGATTCGATTTCAACATATAGATAGCACGTGTGGGGTACAAACAGTCCATAACACATAACACTGGGCTTCTCAAAATGTAACCTGTGCACAAAACTATAAATACAGGGAATACATGAACTGAATTCGTGATTTGATATTCTGAGGACAGATCCATAATGTAAACTGTGGCTCTAGAACCAATGGCCATTTAGTAAGGCTTATTATGGCTAGGACAATTTAAAAACATATTTTGTTAAGATCGTTTGTTTGAATCATCTGATAATCCTTGACAGTTCAAATAATGTACAAAATCCATGAAAACACCAAACTCTTTCCCAAGATTTGATTCATTTTAGGAAATCATGTAAGTAGATG